ATGAACACAACCTAAGATGCCTGTAGGAGACCTTGAAGCACACCAACATACACAGAGTGGGAGTCACAGGTAACAAGAGAGAAAAAGGAACAGAAATAATATTTGAAAAAAATGGCTGAAAATTTCCCACATTTTGACATTTGACATCAATCTACACATTTAAGAAGCTCAATGAACTCCAAGTAGGAAAAACTAAAGATATCCTCACCTAGACATATTATAATTAAACTGCCAAAATGCAAAGACAAAGAAAATCTTAAAAGTAGCAGCAAAGTAGAAGGAATTCTCAATGAGAAAAATACTCAATTTCTCATAAGAAATATGGAGGCCAGAAGGCAGTCATATTTAAAGTGCTGAAAGAAAATACTGTCAAAAGTTATAAAGGTGTCAAACTATACTTCAAAGAGAAGGAGATAGGGCTTCCCTGGTGGTGCAGTGGTTGAGAGTCCACCTGCCGATGCAGGGGACATGGGATTGTGCCCTGGTCTGGGAAGATCCCACATGCCGTGGAGCGGCTGGGCCTGTGAGCCATGGCCGCTGAGCCTGCGCGTCTGGAGCCTGTGCTCCGCAACGGGAGAGGCCACAACAGTGAGAGGCCCGCATACTGCAAAAAAAAAAAAAAAAAAAAAAGGAGATATTAAGATATTTCCAGATAAACAGAAACTAAAAGCTTTTGTTGTTAGTAGATCTGCCCTACAGGAAATGCTAAAGAGAACACTTCATGTTGAAATGAAATAACACTAGAAAGTAAGTATATAGGTAAACATGAAAGGCATTACAAAGGTATTACAATATTTTTGGTTTGTAACTCCTATTTTGATTTAAAATACAGAAAAAAAATCATAAAAATATGTTAATGGACTCATGAGTATACAGATATAATTTGTAACAATGACAACATAAGGGGGGGTTACAGCTGTATAGGAATAGAAACTTTGTATATTATTGAAACTGAGCATTAATTCAAACTAGACTGTTATAAATTTAGGACATTAATTGTAATCCCCAAGTTAACCAATAAGACAATAACTAAAATATATATAGAAAAGTAAATAAGAGAGGAATCAAAATGGTAGACAAGAAAAAGTTCAAATATAAAGAAGGCAGTAATGGCGGAAGTGAAGAACAAGAAACATATGACATACTGAAAACAAAAAGCAAAGTAGTAGAAGTTAAGTCCTTCATTTGTAATTGCATTCAATACAAATAGATTAAACTCTCCAATAAAAAGGCAGACATGGCAAAATGGATTTTAAAAGAAAGGAAACATGATCCAACTATATTTTGTCTACAAGAGACTTCCTTAGATCCAAAGACATAAATAGGTTGAAAGTGAGAGAACAGAAAAAGGTTATTTCATGCAAAGTTATTAAAAGAGACCTGAGGTGGCTATGCTAATATCAGAAAATATAGGCTTTAAGACAAAAATTGTTACCAGAGACAATGAAGACATTATATATTGGTAAAAGTTTTAATCCATCACAAGATGTAAACAATATAAACACATATACACCTAAAACAGAACTCCAGAATATATGAAGCAAAAGTTGACCAAATTGAAGGTAGAAATAGACAGCTCTGCAATAAGTTACAGAGACTACTATGAACAACTATATGCCAATAAAATGGACAACATAAGAGAAACAGACAAATTCCTAGAAACATACAATCTTCCAAGACTGAACTAGGAAGAAATAGAAAATATGAACAGGCTGATTACCAGTAATGAAATTGAATCAGTAATAAAAAAAAATTCCCAACAAACATAAATCCAGGACCAGACGGCTTCACAGGTGAGTTCTATCAAACATTTAGAGAAAAGTTAACACCTATCCTTCTCAAACTATTCCCAAAAAACTGCAGAGGAAGGAAAGCCTCCAAACTCATTCTACTGATACAAGGCCAGCATCACCCCAATACAAAAACCAGGAAAAGATATCACCAAAAAAATTACAGGTCAGGGACTTCCCTTGTGGCCCAGTGGTTAAGAATCTGCATTCCAATGCAGGGGATGCAGGTTTGATCCCTTGTCTGTGAACTAAGAGCTCACAGGCTGTGGGGCAACTAAGCCCATGCCCGCAACTACAGAGCCCACGTGCTCTGGAGTCTGTGCACCACAACTACAGAGCCCATGCACTCTGGAGCCCATGTGCCACAACTAGAGAGAAGCCCATGCACCACAACTAGAGAGAAGCCCATGCACCACTACAGAGAAGCCTGCATGCTAAAATGAAGAGCTCACGTGCCACAATGAAAGATCTCACATGCTGCAACTAAGACCCGACTAAGCCAAAAATAAGTAAATAAAATAATAATTAAAAAAACTACAGCTCAATATTACTGATGAACATAGATGCAAAAATCCTCAACAAAATATTAGCAAACCAAATCCAACAATATATTAAAAGAATGATACATCATGATCAAGTGAGATTTATCCCTGGGATACAAGGATGGTTCAATATCTGCAAATCAATCAATGTGATACATCATGTTAACAAATTGAGGAATAAAAGCCATATGATCATCTCAATAGATGCAGAAAAAGCTTTTGATAAAATGCAACATACCTGTATGATAAAAACTCTCCAGAAAGTGGGCATAGAGGGAATATACTTCAACATAATAAAGGCCATATATGACAAACGCACAGCTAACATCATACTCAATGATGAAAAGCTGAAAGCATTTCCTCTAAGATCAGTAATAAGACACGGATGCCCACTGTTGCCACTTTTATTCAACATAGTTTTGGAAGTCCTAACCACAGCAATCAGACAAGAAAAATAAATAAAGGAATCCAGATTGGAAAAGAAGAAGTAAAACTGTCACTGATTGCAGATGACATGATACTATACATAGAAAACCCTAAAGATGCCACCAAGAAACTATTAAAGCTCATTGATGAATTTAGTTAAGTTGCAGGATACAAGATTAATATACAGAAACTCTGTTGTATTTCTATACACTAACAATGAACTATCAGAAAGAGAAATTAAGGAAAAATACCATTTACAATTGCATGAAAAAGAAGAAAATACCTGGGAATAAACTTACCTAAGGAGGTAAAACATCTGTACTTGGAAAACTATAAGACACTGATGAAAGAAATTGAAAATGACACAAACAGAAGGAAATATATACTATGTTCATGGATTGGAAGAATTAATATTCTTAAAATAACCATATTACCCCAGGCAATCTACAAATTCAATGCAATCCCTAACAAAATACCAATGGCATATTTCATAGAACTAGAACAAATAATTTTAAAATTTGTATGGATTCACAAAAGACCCTGAATAGCCAAAAGAATCTTGACAAATAAGAACACTTCTCAACTTATTTTATGAGGTCAGAATCACTATAATAGCAAAACTGGACAAAGACATCAAAAGAGAAAGAAACCACAGGCCAATATTCCTGATTAACATGGATGCAAAAATTCTCAACAAAACATTAACAAACCAAGTTCAACATCACATTAAAAGGACCATACACCCTGACCCTGACCAAGTGGGATTTTTCCCTGGGATGCAAGGATGTTTAATATATATACAAATGAATTAATATGATATACCACATTAACAGAATGAAGGATAAAAATCACATGATTATCTCAATAGATGCAGAAAAAGCATATGACAAAATTCAACATCTTTTCAAGGTAAAACAATTAATTAGGTATAGAAGAAACTTACCTCACCACAATAAAGTATATATATGACAAGTCCACAGCTGACATCACACCCAGTTGTGAATGGTTGAAAGTTTTGCCTCTATGATCAGAAACAAGACAGGAGTGCCCACTCTCACCATTCCTATTCAGCACAGTACTGAACATCCTTGCCAGAGCAATTTGGTGAGAAAAAGAAATAGAAATAATCCAATTTGGAAAGGAAGATATGAATTGTCTCTGTTTGCAGATGACAAGATCTTATATGTGGAAAACCCTATTGCCTTCCCAAACAATCTGTTAAAACTAAAAAATAAATTCAGCAAAGTTGCTGGATACAAAATTAATACACATTTCTCAAAAAATCAGTTACATTTCTCTATACTAACAATCAACTATCTAAAAAGAAAATTAAGAAACCAATTCCATTTACGACAGTATCAAAAAGAATAAATTATTTCAGAATAAACTTACCCAAGGAGGTGAAATACTTGCACACTGTAAACTATAAAACACAAAGGAAAGAAATGAAAGCAAACACAAAAATGTAAAGACATCCTAAGTTCATGGACTGGAAGAATTAATATTGTTAAAATGTCCATGCTCTCCAAAGTGATCTACAGATTTAATACCATTCCCATCAAAATACCAGTGGCATTTTTTCCCCACAAAAAAAGATAAAACAATCTTAAAATTCAAATGGAACCACGAACGACTCCAATATAGCCAAATCAATTTTGGGCAAGCAGAAAAAAGATGAAGGATTCACACTTCTTGATTTCAAAATATATTACAAAACTACAGTAATCAAAACGTTATATTAGCATAAATACAAAAAGACCAATGAAAAAGAAAAAACAGATGAGAGTAAACATAAACATATCTGGCCAATTGATCCTTGACATGGGTACCATGAATAATACAGTGGGGAAAGGATAGTCTCTTTAATAAATGATGTTGAGAAAACTGGGTATCTATATGCAAAAGAATGAAATTGGACCCTTATCTCACACCATACATAAAAATCAACTCAAATTGGGTTAAAGACTTAAACATAAGACCTGAAACTGTAAAAATCATAGGAGGAAACAGGGGGACAGCTTCTTGACACTGGCCTTGGCAATGATTTTTTTAGATATGAAACAAAGAATACAGGAACTAAAAGCAAAACACACAAGTGGAATTACATCAAACCAAAAAGCTACTGAACAGCAAAGAACCAATTACCAAAATGAAAAGGTAACTTATGGAATGGGAGAAAATATTTGCAAATGATATATCTGACACTAGCTTAATCTCTAAAATATATAAGGAAATTCTACAACTCAATAGCAAAAACCCCCAAATAACCCAATTAAAAGTTGGGCTAAGGATTTGAATAGACATTTCTCCAAAGAAGATATAGAAATGTTCAACAGATTTCTGTATATTATTCTTGTATCCTGCTACCTTGCAGAATTCATTTATTAATTCGAATAGCTTTTGTGTGGAAAATATAAGGTTCTTTATATAGAGTATTATGCCATCTGCAGTAGTGATAATTTTACTTCTTCCCCTCCAATTTTGATAAATTTTATTTCATTTTCTTGTCTGACTGCTGTGGCTAGGACTTCCAATACTATGCTGAATAGAAGTAGTGATGGCAGGTGTCCTTGTTTTGTTCCTAAATTTAGCAGGAAGTCTTTCAGCTTTTCACTGTCGAGTATGATGTTGGCTGTGGGTTTGTCATAAATGGCTTTTATTATGTTGAGATATGTTCCTTCTATACCCACTTAGCTGAGAGCTTTTATCATGAATAGATGTTGAATTTCATCAAATGATTTTTCTGTGTCTATTGAGATGATCAAACAACCCAATCAAAAAAATGGGCTGAAGACCTAAATAGGCATTTCTCCAAAGAAGACATACAGATGGCCAACAGGCACATGAAAATATGCTCAACGTTGCTAATTATTAGAGAAATGCAAATCAAAACTACAATGAAGTATCACCTCACACCAGTCAGAATGGCTATCATCAAAAGTCTGCAAATAATAAATGCTGGAGAGGGTGTGGAGAAAAGGGAACCCTTGTACACTGTTGGTGGGAAGGTAAATTGGTACAGCCACTATGGAAAACAGTATGAATCTTCCTTAAAAAACTAAAAATAGAGCTACCGTATGATCCAGCAATCCCACTCCTGGATATATATATCTGGGAAAAAATGAAAACTCTAATTAGAAAAGATACACGCACCCTAATGTTCATAGCATCACTCTTTACAATAGCTAAGACATAGAAACAACCCAAGTGCCCATCAACAGACAACTGCCTTAAGAAGATGTGGGGTGTGTGTATGTATACACAATAGAATGTTACTCAGCCATAAAAAAAGAATGAAATATTGCCATTTGCAGCAACATGGATGGACCTAGAGAATATTATACTTAGTGAAGCAAGACAGAGAAAGACAAATATATCACTTACATATGGAATCTAAAAAAATAATAGGAATGAATCAATATACAAAACAGAAACAGATTCACAGAGATAGAATACAAACTTATGCTTACCAAATGGGAGAGGGAGGGAAGGAGGGACAAATTTGGAGTATGGAATTAACAGGTACAAACTATCATACTTAAAATAGATAAGCAACAAGGATTTACTGTATAGCACAGGGAATTATATTCATTATCTTATAATAACCCATTATGAAAAATAATCTGAAAAAAGTATACATATATAAGTGAATCCATTTTCTGTACACCTGAAAGAAACACAATATTGTAAATCAACTATATTTCAATAATTAAAAAAAAATGGCCAACAGGTAATATGAAAAGGTGCTCAAAATCACTAATCATGAGGGAAATGCAAATCAAAATCACAAAGAAATACCACCTCACACCTGTTAAGAGGGCTATAATTTAAAAAAAAAGATAATATTTGTGAGGATATGGAGAAAAGGGAACTCTTGTACACTGTTGATGGAAATGTCGATTAGTGCAGCCACTATGGAAAATAGTATGGAGTTTCTTCAAAAAATTAAAAATAGAACTGCCATAGAATCCAACAATCTCACTTCTGGGTACACGTCCAAAGGAAATGAAATCAGGGTCTCAAAGAGATATCTGTACTCCCAAGTTCATCACAGCGTTATTCATAGTAGCCAAGACATGGAAGCAACCTAAATGTCCATTCATGAATGAATGGATAAAGAAAATGTTGTATATACATACCATAGAATATTTTTCAGCCTTCAAAAAGAAAGAAATCCTGTCACTTGCAACAACATGGATGGACCTGGAGGATATTATGCTAAGTGAAATTAGCCAGGCACAGAAGGTCAAATACTATACAATACCACTTATATGAGGAATATAAAATAGTGAATCTCATAGAAACAGAGACTAGAATGGTGGTTTCCAGAGGCTGCAGGGAGGGGGAAATGGAGAGGTATTAGTCACAGGATACAAAGCTTGTTATACAAAATGAATAAATTCTAGAGACCTACTGAACAGCAAAGTGCCTATAATGAACAACACTGTATTGTATACTGAAAAATTTTCTAAGAGGGTAGATCTTATTTTAAGTGCTCTTATCACACACAAAAGTAACAAAGAGGGCTGGAAGAAACTTTTGGAGGTGATGGATATGCTTATGGCACAGATTGTGGTGATGGTTCCATGGCTATATAATTATCTTCAAACTTATCAAGTTGTACATATGAAGTATGCACAATTTTTTTTTCTTTTTTTGCAGTACGCGGGCCTCTCACTGTCGCGGCCTCTCCCGTTGCATAGCACAGGCTCCGGATGCGCAGGCTAGGGATGCACAGGCTCCAGACGTGCAGGCCCAGTGGCCACGGTCCACGGGCCCAGCCGCCCCGCGGCATGCAGGATCCTCCCGGACCGGGGCACGAACCCACGTCCCCTGCATCGGCAGGCGGACTCCCAACCACTGTGCCACCAGGGAAGCCCTATGCACAACTTTTTATATGTCAATCATACCTCAAAGAAAGATAAAAAAAATAAATCATCTTAATACACCACATTAAGAGAATGAGGGAAAAACATCACAGGATCTTAGGAATTAATAGAAAAAATCATTTGATAAAATCCAATGCATTGGACACCAGGAACTCTGGTCTGTGAGCTCTGCACACAGCTCACTGTGAGCCAGTGAAGCTAGACTCAGCACGAAGGAAAAGAAAGAGCTGACTTTCCAAGATGGTGGAGGAGTTGGAGGACATGGAGTTCATCTCTCCCCACAAATGTATCAAGAATACATCTACAAATGGAACAATTCACACAGAGCACCTGCTGAACACTAGCAGAGGACTTCGGACACCTAAAAGGACAAGAAAGATTCCCCATGTAACCAAATAGGACAAAAGAAAGAAGAAGTGAGAAGGAAGAGGAGAGGAAGCAGGATGGGACCTGCACCCCTGGTGGGGAGCTGAAGGTGAGGAGAGGTTCCTGCATCTGGGGAAGACCCGTCGCTGGCAGGGAAACCAGATGGGACAGAGGGGAGATTTGGGGACTCGGAGGAGAGCCCAGCAACTGGTCTGTGGCAGGCAGGACAGAGTGAGACCTACACAGATGGTCCGTGCCACAGCCCTGTGCACCCCAGCCTGAGATGGGTGCCCACCAGTGTGCACAGGGGCTGGGTGCTGGAACGTGGGGTTTGGAGAGCAGACCCAGGGAGGGGACTGCTGATTGCTGTGAGGAGACAGCCTGAGGGGATGGAAATGAGGAGCTATGTAACTGGGAATGCTTGTAGAGGAAGCCCGGACCACCACAGAAGTGAAGTGCCACTGTTGAGTGACACACAAAAGGTGGGGCTGTATTGCAGCCTCTCTTCTCATGTGCCAAACCCTGCCTCCACAGGCACTACGGAGGGCTCCCACCAGGGCTGGCTCACACGCCCCTGCCATCGCCTCTTCCCCACCACCCCCGGCCTGGGCAACCTGCTCGCCCCAATCGCTGCCTGACAGGCTCCTTCCTGCCTGACAGGCTTGTGTGTTCTGACAATCTCTGGAGCAGACTCTGGTGGGAGGAACGCATGCAGAGGTGGGGCTGAAACCACAGCTGAGCCCCAGGGACCACGTGACTAAGGAAGAAGAACTGAAATCTCTCCTCGCGGCTGTGCACACCAAGGAGTTACATCTCTAACGGCTTCCCAAATTCAGCACCTGCAAAACACCTGAAAGGATAACAAGTGTTCCTGCAGCTGGGATGGGTCTGGCTTTAGCAGGTTTTGTGGGCTTTGTGAACACGTATATGTGGTGGTTGGGCCAGGCCAGAGTTTGAGCTGCCTCCATAGCTCCCACAGTGGGTCCAGGTGCATGACTACTGCAGTCCTGGGACCTGACCTCAGTGGACCTGCGCTGGTGGCCTGGTGAAAACAAAGCCTGAGTCACCAGGGCCAATTACCGGCATACCCAAAGGTAAGGTGGGACTGAGAGCAGTGCTAACAACGGTGGACTTTGTGAGCCTGCACAACGGTGAAAGGGGATAGAAGAGAGCACATTCATAGGTGAACAGCTCCAGAGAAGGAATACTCAGTGGCTTCTCTCCCAGTAGGAGTGCTCCAATCCCACCTACCTTGCACCACAGATCAGGATCACAGCTAAGAAACAGATCTGGGGGTCTCTACTCCACCAATAGGGAGCAGACACCATCCCTGACAGGGCAGTGATAACCACAGGGCAAAGGGGAGGGCCTGCTCAATATCCATGGCAGGCTCTGGTCACCACAACAGCAGTCAAACCTCCTATCAAGGGGATAATGGCACAAGCCTCTGGATCAACCTCACCCACTAGGGAACAGACACCAGAAACAAAAGGAACTACCATCCTGCAGCCTGTGGAAAGGAGGCCAAAAACACAGTAAGTTAGACAAAATGAGATGACAAAGAAATAGATTGCAGATGAAGGAGCAAGATAAAAACCTACAAGAACAACTAAATGAAGACGAGATAGGCAATCTACCTGAAAAAGAATTCAGAATAATGATAGTAAAGATGATCTAAGATCTCAGAAAAAGACTGGAGGCACAGATAGAGAAGACAGAAGAAGTGTTTAACAAAGACCTAGAAGAACTAAAGAAGAAGCAAACAGAGATGAACAATACAATAACTAAAATGAAAAATACACTAGAAGGAATCAATAGCAGAATAACTGAGGCAAAGGAATGGATAAGTGAGCTGGAAGACAGAATGGTGGAAATCACTGCCACAGAAGAGAGTGAAGAAAAAACAATAAAAAGAAATGTGGACAGTCTCAGAGACCTCTGGGACAACATTAAACATACAACATTCGAATTATAGGGGTCCCAGAAGAAGAAGAAGAAAACGAGAAAGGGCCTAAGAAAATAT